TTCATTACAAAGACGAAATTCCCAACCACTAACTTTATAAAGTTTAAATTAGCACCCAACACATATATCCGGTAGTTGATATTTACATTTAATTAACTGCGACAAAGAAATTCACCCTGACATGTCCCTATTTTGATATCGGAAATATGTAGTAATCATGAGTTTGTTGAACCGATTCTGTTTATTATCAGCGACAAGGGAGAGGGTTGGGGACGTTAAAGGACCAGTTCCCATTGTGTACAATGAGGTTCTACTTGAGGGGTTGATTTGGTATCCAGAGTTGTATGTAAAACATAAATCAATTATTTCTACTTTTGAAACCACTGATTCTAGATAAAAATGTGTGTAATATGAAACAGTTTGTGAACTACTACATATTCAAAACAGAATTAACATGTAAACAATTACAGTAATTTTTGACTGTGAATTTATATTTCTGTAAGACAGTGATTTTCACAAATATACAAAGGCTGTTGTGTCATTAACGTTAATATGATCGCACAACACTGGTCGCGTGGTGTTGACACCTTAATCTTAATTCGTATTTATAAAGATATTTAACTATTCAGTTGATATTAATGTAAGTCAAACGGACAAACTAACAACTCGAAACAATTATGAATACATCTCACCTCGCTATGATAAATATACCTTCCTTTTTACGCTTGAGAAATTTCGTAAGACCATGCAACACTCGACTTAACTCCTAGAGTTACCTCCCTTACTCTTCTTCCCTAACGTTTCATTTGTTTCAACCATTGCGTCAGTGAACGACCAACATGCATTCGATTAAGTTCTAGAACATTTCCAATTTAGTCATACACTCATGCGAGTGTTGATACGAAATATGAGTCTAATGGGGGTGACCGAACATATGAAACTGTTTCGTCATGCTAAAAGTCCTCAAAGGACACGTCAGCTTCTAATATTTTCCCGATTGGTAGATTCGATTTGAGCGTCGTCGTTTGTCTCACAGGTCAAGGTTGCTCAAGGTGCCTTCTGTTCCTGACAGTCGTCTACATGATGCAAGCTTGCATCAGCCAGCAGGGTCAGAGGTCACAGCACCTCAACTGGAAGAGTCTATCATGAACAATCACAGATTGCACTAATAGGCTCGAGTGTCTGCGTGAGATGTTAAGTTGGATAAATCCAAATTCGTATCTTGTCTCACTATAAGTTTATGACTTTCCATATCTTTGATTCCAGCTTTTTGTATTTTTTCTCGTACTTCAAGACGAATGAAATATTTTCGTTGTTTGAATAGATATGATAGTTATATATTATCCTACTCTTATAACTATTGTCACCCCCAACATACTAGACTAGACTAACGCTTAGTCCCTGGATATATATAACTATTGTCACCCCCAACATACTAGACTAGACTAACGCTTAGTCCCTGGATATATATAACTATTGTCACGCTTAGTCCCTGGATATATATAACCCAACATACTAGACTAGACTAACGCTTAGTCCCTGGATATATATAAACTATACTGTCTAACGCTTAGTCCCTGGATATATATAAACATAACATACTAGACTAGACTAACGCTTAGTCCCTGGATATATATAACTATTGTCACCCCCAACATACTAGACTAGACTAACGCTTAGTCCCTGGATATATATAACTATTGTCACCCCCAACATACTAGACTAGACTAACGCTTAGTCCCTGGATATATATAACTATTGTCACCCCCAACATACTAGACTAGACTAACGCTTAGTCCCTGGATATATATAACTATGACAGCAACAAAAAGAACCCATTTAAATTGAAAATGAGCCCCAGTGAGTTGGAACATGGGGGAATCTAGACTTGCTTCACTTAGGGCTTTAGCATTGCAGGGAGGACTAGGCAGAGGGGAACATAATGCGGTTCAGGGACTGTGAAACAGACAAGCACTGGGTGACAATATTTATGAGTGTGGACGTACATTCGAATAGCACAATAACGGTTGAAGCTTAACGAGTGAGTGAAAGCGTTTCGGTTTACGCCATTTTTGCAATAATCCCAAAACATAATCCACAGCATGAGACACCAGCAACGGCCTTCACACATGGTGCCTATGTGGGGAATCGAACCCAGGCTTTCGGCTTGACGAGCGAACGCTTTAACCACTAGGTTACCCCATTGCCCCACAATCTTAATGAATAGTGTATTAACACATAGATGCACAATTCACCATTAAGTATTCGTGCTGTGTAAACCCGGTTAGAGCTGATCTTCAGTAACCCATGCTTGTAGTAAGAGGCGACTAACGGGATCGGGTGGTCAGGATCACTAACTTGGTTGACACATGTCATCGGTTCCCAATTGGTAGATCGATGTTCATGCTGTTGATCACTGGATTGTCTGGCCCAGATCCGATTATTTACAGACCGCCGCCATAAAGCTGGAATATTGCTGAGTGCGGCGTAAAATTAAACTCACTCACTCACTCGTGGTGTGTATATAGATTTCCTCTTGTCTGCAAGAATCCGTTTTGACTGTAAAATACTAAAGAAGGAGGCCACGTAAATGTTTCTGGCTTTAACACAATCCAATTCTTTGCAGTCTCAATATACAATATCATCAGCATTTAATAACACTTTCACTTGTCACTGTGAAACTATGAAAGTGCATTTTGTCAAACAATGGTCAGTGGATATTGGCATATATACCTTTGTATATATGTAGCTTCGAGATAATAACCAGTAAGGTTTATACTTTAATTGGCAAATAAATCTTTGGCAATAACTACAGATCATGACACACTGTCAGGTATGCGGTGTGGTGTGATTGTCTCCTGGCGGCCACGTGTGTGTGTGACGTAACAATAGCGTCACTTGTCTGTGGGTGTATTGTTACACTGTATATATGTATGTAGGCAGTTAATGAGAGCATAGGTTACAACTGTTCTTTGTTCTCCGACACCACGACTAATTTAGATTAGACTAAAGTCGTCACGATGTGTCTGATAAACCCGGATTTAGTTATGCACTTTAGAAACTTTGGAATAATCTCCCTTTATATGTTAAAGAATCAGTTTCGCATATAAGCTCGCGTAAGTCAAAAGCACCAGGATATTTCTCATTTGGTAATAGAAAACTCAATGTAATTCCTACCCAGCTAAGACATTCAAATAGTAGATTAAATGGTGATCTATATAGGGTTGGTCTTATAGAGAACCCCGAATGTAATTGTAAATTTACCTGTGAAAATTCTCATCATTATTTTATGGAATGTTCAAAAATATATATCAAACTCCAAAAGGTTCAGTAATTGGATATAATGTTTATGATCCAAATAATTCATGTATTCATTGTATTGTATATATCCTTCAGTATGTATCTTTCTATCCCTGTACATATAGTTTGTTTCACTTTTGCATGTAAGCACTGTAAATAGGAGAGGGTTTCACTAAGTTGGCATAACTTGTACCCAATCCATTCTCTTGAATAAATATGTTTAAATCAAAATGTGTCTGATAATCCAGGATTTAGTTATGCACTGTAGAAATGATTGTTTATATATTACACGCAAAATTAAACATTTATTTGTCCTATGTTTTTAAACACTATGTGTTTATTACCTAAACGTTGTTTATGTTATAAACAAGTGTTTACCAACTAAACAATGGTTTAGTTTCTAAACGGTACTGGTGTTTACAATTTAATCACTTAACTCTGTTTAACGCAAGAACATGTTTACATTATCGCTAGTATTTAGGAATAAAACATATTGCGATTAAACACAACTAAAGAAAAACTGACAAGGTACCTGTATAAGTGTGAGAGAGAGCTCGCTGGTAGACCTTCTTGGTCACGTTTTACCCATATTGCTGTAAATATACCTGTTAAAAGCAAAGGTGTGTAATGATGGAGTTATGTATACTGTCTAATATGCTAAGGCTGATAGCACTAGGTAGGTATAATAGAAGTAGAGAGATGTATGCTAAACATTATATTTATTTCGTCTTACCTAAAACATGAATTTTACCAACACTATGACATAGCTGTGGAACACAACCTCACAATGAAAAACGGAATTTTTTGACAAATTCATTTGGACTTAAAGTCAGGAACAGGATATAAAATATCAAACCAAGTGTCAGAAACATTAACAAAAATTTGCGTGTTTTTAATATTTTTGACAACTGTACCATGCCATATACGTTTTTAATGCATTCATTATATTATACTGTACCGTTTTCTAATGTACCGTAATATGAACATATATGATTGTAGGTTCGAGTCTCAGATTGGGCTTGATAATGCTTCCATAAATATTAATCCCCCCAAATCGGTAATGGAATAAGACCTACAGCACTGTTCTAATCTGAAACATTTTTCAAATCGGCCTTTAACGCATCCAGTCAACTATACTCCCCATCTAGTATAAAAACTTACGAAAGTCAATTAAAAACGTTCGGATGGTCGCGCCGGGGAAACAGGCGAATGCCGTGAATGAAAATTGTACATATTATTAATAATATATATCTTTGGATGAATCATTGGCACTGGTTGGCCGGGCCAACACCCGATAAGTTCATGTCATCGCGATATTTGAGTGAGTGAGTGAGTGAGTGAGTGAGTGAGTGAGTGGAGTGAGTGAGTGAAGTGAGTGAATGAGTGAGTGAGTGAGTGAGTGAGTGAGTGAGTGAGTGAGTGAGTGAGTGAGTGAGTGAGTGAGTGAGTGAGTTGAGTGAGTGAACGTCAGTGTGTCTGTATATGCGCGCGTCGAGTTTGTATGTCAGCCTGTGTGTGTCAATATTGGCGCTGCATATGCTGTTCATGAACGCAGGCAGTGTACAGAATGGGTCGGGTCACCGACTTACACAGTTCCAGGTATCTAGAGTGAACTCGGCAGGCTGTCATCACCTGTGTCTGAAGAAGGAATATTTGATTCTTACTCATACATGCACGCTTATCCACTATTTTCAAACGCATTGTTTCAGTACAATGAACGATGTCTGGCTCGTTGCTCATGTGGTCAACCACGGGTTTGCATGGAAAAAACTGTAACCATTGCCGTCCACTGTAACAACGCAGGGACCCACTACAAGAAGTGTCCCTGTAACTATCGAGGGCCCCACTACAAGAAGTGTCCCTGCATCTACCGAGGGCCACACTACAAGAAGTGTCTCTGTAACTACGAGGGCCCCACTGCAAGAAGTGTCCCTGTAACTATCGAGGGCCCCACTACAAGAAGTGTCCCTGTCCCTGTAACCACCGAGGGCCCCATTACAAGAAGTGTCCCTGTAACCAGGGAGTGCCCCACTACAAAGAGCGTTCGTGTAACCAGGGAGTGCCCCACTACAAGAAAAGAAGTGTCCCTGTAACCAGGGAGTGCCCCACTGCAAGAAGTGTCCCTGTAAGCAGGGAGTGCCCCACTACAAGAAGTGTCCTGTAACCACCGAGCCCCCACTACAAGAAGTGTCCCTGTAACCAGGGAGTGCCCCACTACAAGAAGTGTCCCTGTAACCAGGAAGAGCCCCACTACAAGAAGTGTCCCTGTAACCAGGAAGAGCCCCACTACAAGAAGTGTCCCTGTAACCAGGAAGAGCCCCACTACAAGAAGTGTCCCTGTAACCAGGAAGAGCCCCACTACAAGAAGTGTCCCTGTAACCAGGAAGAGCCCCCCACTACAAGAAGTGTCCCTGTAACCAGGAAGAGTGCCCCACTACAAGAAGTGTCCCTGTAACCAGGAAGAGCCCCCACTACAAGAAGTGTCCCTGTACAACCACCAGGAAGCCCCACTACAAGAAGTGTCCCTGTAACCAGGAAGAGCCCCACTACAAGAAGTGTCCCTGTAACCAGGAAGAGCCCCACTACAAGAAGTGTGCCCCACTACAAGAAGTGTTCCGTGTAACCACCGAGGAGGCCCCACTACAAGAAGTGTCCCTGTAACCAGTGTCCCTGGAGGGGTGCCCCACTAACCACCGAGGGCCCCACTACAAGAAGTGTCCCTGTAACCAGGGAGGGCCCCACTACAAGAAGTGTCCCTGTAACCAGGGAGTGCCCCACTACAAGAAGTATCCTTGTAACCAGGGAGCGCCCCACTACAAGAAGTGTCCCTGTAACCAGGGAGTGCCCCACTACAAGAAGTGTCCCTGTAACCACCAACTGATTGATTTCGATCACTAGAGACGTGTATGGTCCCGTTGCCGTAGTGCCGAGTTTCGCTTTTAAACAATGATCTGCAGGATAAAGTTCGCATCCAAGTATGATCTTCGTCAGTAAGCACCGCACTGTTAGTTTACTGACTTCTTGAACATGCTTTACCTGTGACTTTACTCCCCCGTTAAAACACGGAGCCTTAAATGGCGTTAATCTTACCCACTCACTCCCTGCATCATCCACACCCCCGTAAGAAATGAACCCGTGAAGGTCCGGGTTAGAATGAACCTTCAGCAACCCATGCTTGTCGTAAGAGGCGACAAACGGGATCGGGTCGTCAGGCTCGCTGGCTTGTTTGACGCATGTCATCGGTTCCCAAATGCGCAGATCGATGCTCATGCTGTTGATCACTGGATTGGCTGGTCCAGACTCGATTATTTACAGACCGCCGCCATATAGCTGGAATATTGCTGAGTGTGGTGTAAAACTAAACTCACTCACTCTGTCCGTAAACAATGATAACATACGCTTCTTGGTTAACTTGAGTGCAATAAACACAGTTTTATTGTACAAAAATATGAAAGACTTATGCAATTTGAATATTAAAGACGTATACATCCAGTAACGAATACATGTCACTTCGCCAGTCTGGCTGTTACCATGGTAACGTATATCAACACTACTGTACCATCATGTGATCATTCGTCGGGAGAAGAGCGCACAGATGCCAGAAAACCAGTGTAACCGCATGCATTGTATTGCGCATGGCGATTCACTGTGTAGGTAGTGGTCAGTTGATTCACATTTTAACAATCTCAAAATGCCATTTTGTGTTCGTAACACGCTTTGACAGGGTTTTCCCTGAATAAAAATAGACTATGCATTTACAACCAATCGTTAGAACAGTAGTGTTCTGCATACAATCAAAACCCTAATGTTTTGTCTGTGCAGCTTTTCTCGACTACTGAATAGCACCGCTACAACTTCTAGATTTATGGTAAGGAAAATGAGAAGTACAAATCTGAAGAGCATGTACAACAAATCAATTGCGAGTAAATCTTGTAAAAAGCAAGGAAAATGGTGACATGACACTACAATGCTGGGAGTGTTTGATTACTGTCATCCCTAGAGGTAAATTGGAACGAGTATTGTTAATCTCGGATGCTGGCCTTGACATAATTACCTCTTTCTGATGCAAGATCCTCTGAATAAAGCGTCATGTTGCCATAGGTTACTGACTTTGACTGATGCAATCGTTAAAATAAGTGACGTCAGTGTCACGTGACCTCACGCTAAGATGGGAGATAACTGTTGACAGATCACGATGAGCGACTGAGGAAACAAATAAGGCAAGACAATACCATGACGTCACTAACATTGGATCTGCAGATAAATATAATATACTGTCCGACATTGACCAGACTGTCCAAATACGAACTGAATGACAGACAATATGGAGATTGACCACGATCAAGTACGACGACAGCAATGTTCAGCTATAAGTCATAGAGGTAGGGTTATGTAGTAACTACACTGACATGAAAGATGATGAGTAAACAAGGCGATTCCGTTCTGTGGTTTGCCAAGTTCCCCGCCCCCCGCTCGGGGCTCCATCACCAGTCTCCGTCCACTTACGGGTCTCCTTGATATGATTCGAGATGATGGTACGCGAGATATATGACGAGATATAGACTGTCTCAAAATGGGATTCAATGTCAATAAACACAAATCTCATAAAGAAAGATTCGGTCACCGAGGTGGTCGAACTCGTCACTTCCTTTTGGATCCCTCCCCAAGATCAGCGAGACATCCCAGCTCACCCCAGGTTTCCGTGGTACCCTGGGTCCAATCCGTCCGTGCCGGGCTCCGCTGTGAACTCCCTTCACCGATGATGCCTTCTCCTCACGATACGCTCATGATTGCAGGAATGTTGGAAGAACGACACAGATTCTCATGATGTCGATGATTATTATGGAAATGATGAGCCATGGTATCCATGGATGAAGAAGCCTGAGGGGCTGGCTCCTGTCGAGTGAAACAGCTACGGAGGAAGGTCTCAACCTGACACTTTTCCTTCTGCAGTTTCTCGATCTGCTCAAGCAGTTCCTTCTTGTGGTCCTCCAACTGAGTCAGGATCTGCAAGGGGAGATAACCGGATTAGCCATTGTTCAAGTGGTGGAGTCATTGTAATGAGGAATTACTAGCAAACACGGGATCGAATCCGCACCTTCGGAAAGAAAAGAGGTGACATTTTGTACGAAAGGATAACCTTATTACTTTACGCAGAAGTTTGAAACATGCAAATGACAACAATATAATTCAAGTCCACAATGTAATAAAGCATGCCATTAACAATCCACCTGATGCATACTCAGCTGTCACGTGACCACGAGAATGCGGAAGTAGCATTTAGTTTCGTTATCGTTTCTATTTTCACATCAATGTCCTGCTCGAGAATCACATGACTGATACAACGGCATTTGTTAAAAGCTATATCACCACTGTGATGACTACATAATTAATCAAGCTGTACTTTGCCCTACAGGTGCTACGGAAAATGTAACAAAATAGATTTTCGTTTCATACGAGACTCTAAAAGTGTATTCCGGTTCGCAGAATGTAACAGATGTTACAATATATGATTAGAAGAGGGAAGTTCTTCTGTATAAAATCTCAACTGATCTGTGACAGGAGTTTTCAGTTTACATTCCATCACTAAATAAGCCTAGCAACTATTCGGAGTAACAATAGACACAGCGATGGTATAAAGCTCTTCAGAAGTGTTCACAAAGTAATTTTGATTACGATCGCGGCTTAATGTAAAAACAATAAAATATAGATGTGATACATTTAGCCATCGGAAACATCATTTACCGCTTACAACATTGTATTAGAGCTATGACTAGACTCTACGTGAGCAGTAAATTAAAATAGTTACAACATAACGGACAAAATTTGTGACGCAAGCCTCTGGGTTATTTTAATGAAGGTTACAATAAGCAACCATTTTTCTCGACCAAAATGTTCAAGGGATTTCGCTTTATTTATCCTACAAAAACATCTGAATCTGCAGTACTGCATTACTGACAACCCTGACATTCACTAAAAAACAAACCAAAAAACAAACAAACACAAAACATGCCTACACTCACTAACCCAGATATTGCATATGAATATGAATCATAATTTATCACCGATGCAATTACGCAGGGAATTTACCATGCGGGGTGGGAATTGTCGTGTTTTGGGTGCTTCGAAAACTGAAATCTGAAAACTGACTTTCAAAATAATTTATCACTGATGACAATGACCTCGATCACTATTCCGAGCCACCCACACGTAATGATGGAAACGTGACATCTTTCAGGTCATACAGTTATGACAAATGACATGATGACTGGATCACGCATTCCATTCCATGGTAACGATACATCACTGAGGTGAATCTAGGATTTTGAAAAAAGGGGTTGCACATAATACCCCAAACGACGTGAATAGGCTGACATCTAAGCACACACCACCACCCCCCAACACCATCCCACCCCCACCCATCGTGATCCGCTCCATCATATTATGAGAGAAACAAATAAACGAAGCGAAAATCATGTTTTAATATTAATGTCGACGGTAACGAATGAATAACGAAGTATAATCAAATCGAATTTGTTAAAACCATTACACCAGGGACAACAATTTGTTCGAATTTAAGATTTTAAAACTTTTTATCAGAATGCCTTTTTTTAAACACCCAATGTAAAAATGGAGACATTATCTTCCCGCTTCATATATCTTACCTTCTGCTGAGAGAGTGTCTGTTCTTTCCTCCGCTGGCGGTAAGCTTGTGCTGAAACCTTATTTCGCTCCCTCCGTCTTGCTTTGCGTTTCTTCAACAGCGCGTCCTACAATACAACCAAATCCATCAATACTTCGTGTGCCGATATCGCGCTAATATTGATCAGCGAGTTACCTCCCTTTTCAATGCAACCTGCGCAGTAGGTGAATAGGGTCGGCAACGGATCAGCTGAGCGTAACTGCTGACGGAAGACTTTTTGCGCAATTTCATTTAGCATGACTTGGATCTATTATTGCACAATCGCATAGTCCCGTGACGGTGATATATGAATAGGCAACTCCACTAACAATTAATGAATGTCGTCAACACTTGTTATCATGTAAACAGCTTTATCTATACGGGAGTGCAGTTTCTACGTGCGGCCCCTCACAGCTGATCGTCAGCTGAAACTCGGTGAATTAGGTCAAGCTAACCTACCTTGTCTTTGGGTGGCTCTGCTCCGCTGTCGCTAGTTCCAGCATCCCAACATGTACCTCCATCCGATTCCCAACAGGCATCGCTAGATGTTTCTGTATCTGAATCAAACTTGCGTCCCTCCGCGGCGGTCATCGTGGTCAAGGCCTCTGCGGCTCTCCGTGCCAAGTCCGAATCAACGGAATAAGGCGACTCGCCCGAGGTATGCCGGCTTCTCGGCCGCTGGAAATTCTGACACACGACGCGAACCATCTTGAAATGAAGCTTTTAGATACTGAGATCAAGCAGAATAAAATCCAGTGTTGTTTAAAGTGAACTGTCAGGGTAAATATCCGTCCGTTCAACGAGGAAACTTAAACTGACAATGAAATCAGCTGGTCTACTTGCCGGTATATATATTCAGTGGGCTTGCGTCACTGTAACCTCTTCAACTCTGACCCTACTTGCATATTTATTAACCAGTCAACAACCAATAGCTTTTCTGCATCACGTTTTAAGCCCGTTTGATCATGAATATTCATGAGGTAAACGACCTTGCCCTTCGTGAAATGAATTCTAGATGTCTCTTTGTGATGAAATCCCAGCTGTACCAGTCGGACGGGCAGCGAAGTTAGAAATGACGTGTATGAGAGGAAGGAAACGTGGGGAAGACCGTTACTATATTCGGAACAACACGTCAGTAATCGATGAATCAATTCACAGAGCACGATTGTTTTGTTGTGTTGAAACAGATCGCTGTCAACAAATATTCGTTGTTGCGTTTCGTAATATTCCCATCGATTTCATTTGTTAGTGAAATAATACGTTATATGGAGTCGTGATTATTGTGTTGAGGCTGAGTGGCTTGACGGGCAGGACAGTTTATAACACTCGCTATTGAATAACTGAATGTCGCCGTGTACATGGGCTATAAGTGGGTCCCGACAAACGGTGCAATAATGCTTGACTGTTGCGTGTGATAGCTCTATAAACGATAATGTTCATTCGTTTGTACAATTCTTTAATTTTGAAGTTCATTGGAGATAGGTACATTGATTACAATGCACTCAGTGGCTCTTGTGTTGGTTGATATTGTTATCAGCTATGAAGTATGATTTTTTTAAAGAACCAAGGCACTTGACTGAGGCCTGGGACATAAACGCAGACGGTTACAGTCCAAACGATTTCTGATGCAAGCTTTGATGTGAAACATATGCGCAGATGAAGTAAGGTAGCTGAAATAGTAACACAAACAAACACACACAGACACTTACAACACGCACGTACGTACGCACGCACGCACATACGCAGATACTCGCACGCACACACTGAGAAAGATGGATCAGGGTGAATTTGTACATGAACATATTTCCAACGGGTTTGAAAATTTTGACTTCAATGCCATAAAAACGTAAAAGCATTGTATTGGTGTATATTCGAGCACTGCATGTTCACAAATCAAATCAAATTGTTCGTGTTGACAGGTATTCCTAAAGAGTTGTAATCTGCAGGAATTATGATTAGTATCTTGATTTATATCCTTGTATACACCGACTACTCCCACCCGCGCAGCACGAATCATATCTAAATTTAAACAAGAAGTGATATATGTTCAAGAAACAACTCACCCACATGTTGGTGATAGAGGTGACTTTAGTGCAGTGCATATATATATCCCTTATCCAAGTCCTCAACCTAACACTATATATATACACCAACCCAGCCCTCAACGCTAAACCTCAACCCAGGACTCAAGGCTCACCCTCAAAACAGCCCTCAACGCTCACTCTTAAAACAGCCCCCAACCCTCAGCCCCAATCCAGCCCTCAACGCTCACCCCCAACCCAGGACTCAAAACTCACCCTCAAAACAGCCCTCAACGCTCACTCTCAAAACAGCCCCCAACCCTCAGCCCCAATCCAGCCCTCAACGCTCGCCCTCAATCCAGGACTCAAAATTCACCCTCAAAACAAGGTTCACCCTCACCTTCAAACTAGGACTCTACGGTCACCCTCAACCCAGCCCTGAACGCTCACCCTCAAAACAGCCCTCAACGCCCACCTTCAGCCCAGCCCTCAACGCATACCTTCAACCCAGCTCTCAACGCTCATCCTCAACTCAGCCCTTAACGCTCACACACAACCCAGGACTCAACGCGCACCCTCAAACAGCCCTCAACGCTCACCTTCAACCTAGCAGTCAACGCATACCTTCAACCCAACTCTCACCGCTCACCCTCAAAACAGCCCTCAACGCTCAGCCCAACATAGCCCTCAACGCTCATCCTCAACTCAGCCCTCAACGCGGAAACTTAAGCTAGACCTCAACGCTCACCCTCAACACAGCCATCAACGCTCACCTTCAACCTAGCAGTCAACGCATACCTTCAACCCAACTCTCAACGCTCATCCTCAAAACAGCCCTCAACGCTCATCCTCAACTCAGCCCTCAACGCTAACCCTCAACCCAGGACACAAAGCTCACCCTCAAAACAGCCCTCAACGCTCACCCTCAAAACAGCCCTCAACGCTCATCCTCAACTCAGCCCTCAACGCTCACACTCAACCCAGACCTCAACGCTCACCTTCAACCCAGCTCTTAACGCTCACCCGCAATTCAGCCCTCATAGCTCACCTTCAATCCAGCCCTCAACGCTTACACCCTCAACCTAGCCCTCAACGCTCACCCTCAACCCAGCCCTCAACGCAAACCTCAACCCAGGACTATAGCTCACCCTCAAAACAGCACTCAACGCTCAGCCTCAACCTAGCCCTCAATAGCTAACCCTCAAAACAACGTTCACCCTCAACGCTAAACCCTCAAAGCAGTCTTCAACGCTCACCCTGAAACCTGGACTCAACGCTCACCCTCAAAACAGCCATCAACGCTCACCATGAACCCTGGACTCAACGCTCACCCTGAACCCTGCCCTCAACGCTCACCCTCAAAACGGCCCTTGAGCGACGCTCACCCTGAACCCTGGGTTCAACGCTCACCCTCAAAGCAGGCTTCAACGCTCACCCTGAAACCTGGACTCAATGCTCACCCTCAAAACAGCCATCAACGCTCACCATGAACCCTGGACTCAACGCTCACCCTGAACCCTACCCTCAACGCTCACCCTCAAAACGGCCCTTGAGCGACGCTCACCCTGAACCCTGGGTTCAACGCTCACCCTCAAAGCAGGCTTCAACGCTCACCCTGAAACCTGGACTCAATGCTCACCCTCAAAACAGCCATCAACGCTCACCATGAACCCTGGACTCAACGCTGACCCTCAAAACAGCCCTCAACGCTTAGCCTCAATCCAGCCCTCAACGCTAACCCTGAACAGTCACCCTCACTCTCCAACACCCCGTTCCGCCTCCACACAACACATATTCTCAGTCCAAACACCAATATTTAGTCTTAATCATCTCTAATTCCCTGATGCAACACTAAAATTGACCCTAGCTCCCTCGTCCGTGTAAAGATATACTGTATAACTATCAAGTTTGAATAAAAGTATTTAATCTATTTATTTTATTTATTTATTTATTTATTTATTTATCAATTTTGTATTTATTTATTTATTTATATATTTTATCTATTTCATTTTATTTTATTATTATTATTATTTATTTATTTATTTTTTTTTTGGGGGGGAGGGCGTTCGGGAGGGAGATAGCAAAACATATTATTCATATACAAACCTCACTAAGTCTATGTTTTGTGAGTACCAAAACGGCAAAACCAATCGTTAACCGAGCGATATCTCAGTTCTCCTGTTAATTCACAACTCTTCAATATCATAAATCGGACATGACTTTGTTAAACAATCCACGAGTAGGTAAAGGCAGAGATTGTAAACCTGACCCTCGTCGTGTTCTCTCTAACCTGTCCGTGGTAACGGAGTGTGTTAGCTGCGTCCCGTCACATACACACATTGTCTCCGGTCAGATAACGCCTCTCAAGGTCCTTGCTATCTGCCCCCAGTGTTCGGCATACCTTCAGTACACCCCCGCACTCACATTGCTTATCTGATAACAGCTCTTTGTTTGGGTGACGAATCGAAATGTTTGTTCATAATCTACATTAACTGTACAACTGACTGACTGACTGAGTTTGGTTTTACGCCGCTTTTAGCAATATTCCAGCAATATCACGGCGGGGGACACCAGAAATGGGCTTCACACATTGTACCCATGTGGGGATTCGAACCCGGGTCTTCGGCGTGACGAGCCAACGCTTTAACCATTAGGCTACCCCACCGCCCCTTAACTGTACAAACTATACAAGGCTGAATAATTTTTAGTGCTAAATACCGTAAGAGTTTTTCCCTGATCTAGTTTGCTGGGCATATTATTCCTGTTTATGAATCATATATCCGCATTGTCTGTTCTGCACTATCCGGGTTTATTTATATTTAAACTTTCACCACGCTTCAGGTAATGCGGTTATGATAACAACATAATGTCATGGTGACAATGAAAACAACCTGTGGTTGTAAACGGGGACAGAAAGCGAATAGTGTATTTTTTATGCATGCGATTATTAATCTTAAGTCGTTATGTATTTAGCTCGCTGAGAATAGCTGCAAGATTGCTGACGCTAAGGTAAACAATGCCCCGTCACTCACTCATGCAGGATAGCACGCAAGCAAGAATGAAACAATAAGATACTGCTTGTTGTATTCGACTTTAATAAATAATCTGTCTGTCTGTATTTCATGAGGGTATCACCGTTTCAACATTAAGTTTGCAGTGTTTTGGCGGTTGTTGTTGGCACATTTAAGCTTTGATAACGTTTTATTCGTGTTGTTGCTCAAAACCAATTGATTTGCATGCTACCATTTGTCCGTCGGTGTATTTGTGAGTTGGCTTTTACGCCGCTTTTAGAAATATCACAGCGATATCACGAACGGGGAACACCAGAAATGGGCTTCACACATTGTACCCATGTGGGAAATCGAACCCGGGTCTTCGGCGTGACGAGCGAACGCTTTAACCACTACGCTACCCTGCGATTTGTGTAAAATCCGCGGAAAGGCGTGAATGTATTATTGACAACAGAAAGGTCTGGACTGGTTCCCTATATCAGAGTGGGGGTGTACGTATTTCATTCTCTAGTATAGGAGCCTTGTCAGGAGAGTCACTTGTGAATCATCGTTGGAGTTGAGTTTCATGATGTGATGAAATATCCGCGACCATTGAAGCTCGATATCAGTGACCTACCCACTCTCTGAACCCACTGCGATAATGACTCGATTACAAGATACGATTTAGGTCAGAGTTGCCTTCACTGTGCTGAAGGGCTATATACCTGTGTCCTCGGGATGTTACTGACTGAACGTACCAACACTAGGTATGGTATCCTGTTGTAGGGTGAGTGAGTGTATTTTTACGCAGCACTCAGCAATATTCCAGCTATATGG